GATTATACCTGGTGTTCATATTATTTCTGTACTGATTTGAACCACATTACAAGTGTTTTTATACAATTTAAAGATATGATTAATTAATAAATACTTATCAAAAGACTAAAAATTAATCCTTTGATTACGTAATGACTGCACAACAGGTCATGGATTTGGACCCAATTCTGAAAACATCACTCAAGCGGTTCGAGCCATTGATGAAGTTCTCAATGAATTATACGATTCAATAGTAGAGAGAAAGTTAGACAAAGAGGTGAATGTAGTGATTGTTTCAGACCATGGAATGACACAAATCGATGACTTCAAACAAATTGAATTGAAAGATGTCATAGACTTCAAAAATACTGTACAACTATATCTTGGAAGCGGTTCCGGGGCTCAGATTGTGCCCAAACCCGGCAAAGAGGAAGAGGTATTGGATTTGTGATAAAATTAGTTAAAATTCTTAATTTTCATTAAATTATATTTTACTTTTAGGTTTATAAAAACTTAACTCAAGTGAAAGGCATAAAAGTATATAAAAAGGACGAAATTCCGGAAACATTTCATTATAAACACAATTCATTAGTTTTGCCACTTCTGGTTACAGTTGATGCTGGATACACTATTGCTGCGGTTAGTATATGATAGTTATATTTGTTATTAAATAAATTATAATACTTATGGAAACTTTTAAATGAGTGATATATAGCCGAGACTGGAAGGAGTGGTATATCCTTATGGAGACCCACCAAAGAAACCTCAGGGAGGAAATCATGGTTATAGTGTCGAGACTTTGCCTGACATCCGGGCCATAATGTATGGCTTCGGACCGGCTCTCAAGAAGAACTACACCTCCGATTGGATATCAATGGTTGATCACTACAACTTGTTTTGTCATATACTCGGCATTAATGCCATTCCCAATAACGGAACCGACGCTAAGGCCAAAGAAATGTTAGTGAGTAGTAGTGGAAATAGGGCTCACTATTCAGTCCTTGTATTCAGTATTCTTGTCACTTGTGTTTTAAAAGTATTTGTTTAGTTTTTACTAATTTTATGTCATGTGAGATGAAAGATGTTTACTTTATTTTGTAAACATTTGACATCAATTATTATTCTTAGAATTAATTTTTTACAGAATTTTAATATGTTTTTAATGAGAATATTTATAATAAAATAAATAAATTATAAAAACACTAATTAATGTGTTTATTTTTATATCGTCTATTACAAAATATCGTATTAAATTGAAAAATTGTCTACTTTTAAAATCGTATTTTACTATCTAAATTATCTATTTTTTATATAACTTATCCTTTGTTAATATAAATTTATAAAACGTTAATATTACAAGTATGTACCATAAGTTAAAATTACCTGTTTTAGGATGCGTTAGACTGAAACATAAATAACAATTTAAAAATAATTCATTATTTACTTATATAAATAAATATAATTTATAATAGTTTTACATTACATCTAGTATTACACATCCACTATTGGCATAAAAAGTCAATTTTAATTAAATTATCAAAAGTGTCTACTTTTAACAGAAACATTTACATAGTATGTACTGATATTTTAGGAAACTTTTAATTACAATCAAAATAAAAACTGGATAGTTTTGAAAAGCAGTCAATTTTAATGACTTTTAATTATAAGAAAACTTTTTTTTAAGCATTCTTTGAGTGTCAGTTACAATAAGGAGGAGTTGTAGAGAAAGTTTGGGATTTCTGCCAAATTCTGTTCAGACGTTTCGTATTCAAAGTCAATATCGCTTAACAGACTATAAGTGATATACTT